GTACAAGTATACTCGAGTAGCTAGTGAGCTGAGATTACTTCATGATATGATATCCAACGGACCCCCCCGATCTGTTATATCATACCCTCTCTTGGAGCTGAGCTAATGTAGGACGGAAGAAGGTGAGAAAGAAAGGAAGGGGAAAAAAGAAAAAAAGAAAGAACAGGAATCAAGTGTCCACCGACCCGGTCGTTGGGGAACCAACCTTATTCCGACTTCCTATCACTGTTGCGATCATGCGATCGGGTGTGATACGGCACTTTTGTTGTGGTTGAGGTTGTGGTTGGGATGGAGCAAGCGATCATACTGGGTGTGGCGTGAGCCAATGGTTTAGGATGCGGGTGATACATAGGGTAGTACCGTAGCGATAGAGGAGAGCAGTGATACATGGTAAATTGCCGGTAATGTGGTAATTTATTTGGTATAATGGCTCGATTCGATACGGGGCACCCTATTTTCTACCTTCTTGGTAAAACTGTGGTTTAAATTACATTTGAAAAGCATTGCACCAGAGCAATTGGGAGGATAAGATGCATGATAAGAGTTTGGCAAAACAAATTCACAAAAGCTCACTCGGATATCGCCACTCGGGTATCACAGGGAGCTACAATACTCCGCCTCACCCATCCCAAGCCAGGTATCCTCCCTGACCCAAACATCATCTTCACATCCCCATCCCTTGACGTGAACCCTTACCTCCCTTCCACCACCACCGCCACACATCTCCCTGGAGCACCTAATCTCCTTGACTCCTTCATCCCACCTAACCAGTGAGACCTCAGGGTGCCAAAGCGGCATCCTAGACCCGGTCGGAATGTCCAATTGCCAGGTGGTGGGACTGAACGGGTGCGTGCGAAGCAGCATGAACGGACCATCGGTGGGGTGTTGTCTGTCCCGGGCATCGAAAAAGTCTGATGATGGGCGGCGGCGGAGGACCAGTGTTCCCGGGGCGAATCTGAGGGTTGGTTTTGGGGGTGGCGGTGGGGAGAGAGGGGTAGGTGGGGAGGTGGGAGGTGGGGTTGGAGAGGCTTCGGATTTGATGGATGGTGGTGCTGGTGGTAGCCGCGGGGGAGGAGAGGGATGGAACGGTGGGGAGGGTGAGAGGGATGGAGAAGGAGAAGGAGGGCGGGGGTAGCTCGGGGAGCGAGGGCTCTTCGAGAGGGGCTTGGGGGAAAGCAGAAGCTCCCCAGGTGGATACCTCCCCGTACGACGATGGTACTCGAGCCATTGTAGGAAAAGCGCATACTCCTCCGCCGATCCCTCACCCCCGGGCATATCCTGCGGTTGTGTCGGGTTGGCTGCGGAAAAGTAGGGGAAAGGGGAGGGTGAAGGGGAAGCCAAAGGGTGGCCTAAGCGGACGGGAGCCAGCCACAGGAAGAATACAGCGAGGACAAAGGTGAGAAGATAGATGCTCCCGCAATTGTAGTAGCAATCGGTTTGCTTGGTGCACTCCATCTTGGCGGTTAGGTTTGTGTTTGCTCAGGCTGGCTGGGCTGGTTGGTTGGTTGATTGGTTGGTTGGCGGGGGTCTCGTGATGCAGGCCTGTTTGTGCAGTGCAACGGCGACAGGGCAGCGAGGAAGGCGGGCACTTTTGCGCGTGCGCAATCGGTATCGTACGCCAGGGCACGGCACAAGGCAGCACAGTGCCGTACCGAGAGGCTGCGGGCTCCCGCGTACAAACGACCGGCATAGCGAATGGCTCGTAGAAGTCACGTTTGAAAAGAGTGGCTTGCCAAACCCTACCCCACCGCCACGGAGAAACGACCCCACTCTGGAGTGGTCAGGACAAACACTCTCGGGGCAGTCAGACAAACGATGCTGAAGGCGGATACCCGGCCCATCTCCAGGCCTTCCTCGCCCGCTTCGTAAGTTGCCTCTTGTACAGGCAGGCCTTGCAGGGGGAGGGGAACAGTGTTGCCGGTAGGCCTGACAGTGGGGCGGAGAGGTGGGGAAGGATGGGGGTGTGGTAATAATAAACTCTACTGTATGCGAGACCGACTCGAGTTCAAGGAGCGCCGATTGAAAGCATGAGCAGCAGAAGCAATGGTGACAAGCGGAGCAAGAGGAAGGAAGGAGGAGGAGGAGGAGGAGGAGGAGGAGGAGGAGGAGGAGGAGGAGGAGGAGGAGGAGAAGGAGGAGGAGGGGTGCGGCGATTAATTGTGCTGTACCGTAGCCCAACTGCTAAGGCATGCTAAAACCCGTTACAATCAACAAAATGCTCCATGCAAAAAAAACAAAGCAAAACCAAATATACTGAGCGCAAGCCCTCTGTCAGTGGTGAGGGGTCGTGGGAAAGGAAGAAGAAATTACTTTATAGCAAAGCACGAGGGTGGGACGGTGAAGGATATGACAATTGGGTTCCATTCCAGACCAAGCGCACCCCGCTATGCACCACCACCCACGCGCGATTTACCCGTTTCTCTTCCTGTTCACAATAAGGCGGACAATGATGTCGGTGGAGCAGTCCTCGGAAGGAAGCGATTGGCCCGGGTGGTTGGATGGAGAAACAGTCTCCGTACCGTACGAATACTCTCCCCATACCCAGATAGGTGTGCAAGAGCAGAGTAATATAATCAATGCGGTGCGTGATAGGATATTCTCATCATGGTGAAGTTGCATGTGCACGATACGTGATATCAGTGGCTGTTGTCGTCGTCGTCGTTTTTTTTCGAAGGGCCGAGGTGCAGTGAAGTGGCGGAACATCATACCGGTGGTAGTAGGGTGGAGTGGGAGGTACCGTAACTTAGGTATCATATCATGCCTCTTTGGCATCTTGCTTGCGATTGATTGATGGGGGGAAGGGATGGAAGAGGAGGGTGAAGTTCGCGAATCCAGATGGCGGTGCGGCAGATACCGGTCAATCGAATTGTTTGTATGGATCACGGATGATGGGATAGGAGTTTTCTTTATCTGTTTCTATTTTTACGATGTGATGAATGGTATGTTTAGGGCAGAGACGGATGGATACTGCACTGTAGTCCAGATTCCCCAGCACCTGATTGACGGTGATGTGATGACACGGATGAGGCTCCCCGGGCGATCAGGCAAGGGAGAGGCGAGAAAGGGGAGGGAAAATGAGGTGGACGGATAAGCATCCCCTTTTGCATCAGACCTGATACCGGTAGACTATCATGTCTGTACGGGAACCAACAGACCGCGCGCCCAGCCAGCCTGCCAACGTGTCGTGCGCAAGCGCCGCCGGAAGAAGGAAAGAACGAATGAATGAACGCGGCAAACAAATGCCGTAGATATTGTAAAGAGAGAAAGAAAGGAAGAAGGAGAGGAATAAATGAGAACATCTTATTCTTGTGGCCTTTCGTGGTGCTCTAACATGCGGGGGGGGGGGGAGGCAGTTCTTGGAGTCTTGAAGTGCGCAAAGTGCCGGTACAATATCGTATCGTACTTGGGGTACGGCATGATGCTTGAAGCTGTAGGGTGCGGTACGAGTACAGCACGGTACAATACAGTACAGAGCTGTGTAAGTTGGTACGACAGTTACACACCACCGCTATCGGAGTCAGGGGCAGTGGACAGCTGGGTATTATACGGTACCGTACGAGTACTAGCACAGCACGAGCGATTTCAATCCAAAAGTGAGAACTATACAAGTCTTGTGTTGTGCTTGGCTTCCCTTTTCCTCGCTACGCTTGCTGTGCTGTCCCATAAGCTGTCGGCGCAGTGCTGGAGTGTGCAGGGGAGGGAGCGCGGCAAGTTAGGGAACTTCTAGAGCTCTGAAGGAGTAAAGTCATGAGAGGGACGGAGAGGGGGGGGGGAAGACAGAGTTGCCCCCACTGCCACGAATCCAACAATCCTGTGACAGTGTGCAGTCTGACTCTCCCTCACCTTCCCGAATACGGAAGTCTAGACGACTCTCCTGTTGGCCGCGTCCTGGAAGTGTGGCCGAGCAATGGTCTCCAGGTTGCACAACTCAACAACTGGGCACTCACGCCAGGCACCGTACTGTACTCGTACTCTACTCGTACGGTACTCGAGTTCTCATGTAGAAGCTGGAAGGGCAATCGGTAGCTGAACCAAAAAGTCACAGTGTTGGTGTGATACCCTACCCTACTGTGCCCTACCGGTATGATACTCAAGAATCGCCTTCGAGATGCCTGGATGCAAGGCTCCAGGCATGAACTGCTTCAGCCACTGCTCGGGGCTTATTATCCGTATCGTACCGTATGCCCATTCGTGTCTATCGCTGCTGCTGCCTGCGTTTTCTCTCCCCTTTCTTCGTTTCTATATCACCTCCTGAATGTCCATTCGTTCTCACTCTTCTCATACTCTCTTTCTCTACCTGCTCGAGCACTGCTGCACCCTCTGCTCACTTTCAATCACGCCACAGAACCCAGACCTGCTTTCCCCGAAATTTAGGCGACCTGAGAGCGAGAAGGGTGAGTAAAAATAAAAAAGAGGGAAAGAGGAAACCCCCCCCCCCGACAAGTGTGGGTGGCAACCGTAATCTGCTGCAACTCTGCACCCGTCACATTTTTCAGTGAACGAGGTACGTTGGCCTTCTCCTCTCACTCCTCCCCCACCGGCTCCTGCTTTTCTCCTGCGTCCATGATTTCCTTGCCCTCATTTCTCAGCTCTATCGTCCCCGCTATCCTCTCCTCTCAGATCCACCCTCCATACACCACTTTGCCCTCCATTACAATCAGGCCCGAATACTTGTTCCCCTCTCACTCGCAACCGACTAAACCTCCTGTCACAATTTTGCTAGAGAAAACATTCTTGCGGCGTCGAATCAAACTGCCCGCCTTTTTTTATCCTGATCTCCCACTCCCTCCGTAATTGTAGCAAGCCGCATTCCCTCACCTACCACCACCACCACCACCACCACCACCACCACCACAGCTATCTCCCTTCGCATTGGCCATTCCACGACGCATAGGCCATTCCGCCATTCCCGCGCCAGAGGGCTACCATAGACTTCCTCCGCAATCCGATATCCAGCCTGCATCCATCTTCGCAAGGGCTAAACTAGATTTTCGCTGAAAATGCTGCGAAACTCCCTTCCCACTTCATCTCCCCTCTCCCCTCTTTCTTCCCCATTATCTCCCCCCACCGCCCCCCATCAAAACTTCCCATCTGGCAGCTCCAACCCGCCAGATTTACCAACCCTCCCGAAGCCTCGATCGCCTTATAATCCCCACATCCGCCCTCGATCTGTCGAACCAGTAGTCTTTCGCTCACCCGCATTGGTCTCCAGGAGGGCTGACATTCCACCGACACCGCTGGTGACAAACGCTGCCCCGACCACACTTTCAAGTGCTGCTATTGAAGAGGAAGAGGAAGGAGACCTTGGGCACGAGGGTGTTTCTCTATCTGCGGCTGACCAAAGCCCATCAGCCCCACACAGGTCACCCCCGCCTCCTCCCAGAATTGACATCACTCCGGCGCATTCGGAGCAAGAAGATATGCCTTTCAAACTTCCACAGCAACAGAAGCGCGAGGGCCCGAGTCCTAAACACAAGCCTACCCCGGCTCCCGTCCCGCGATATCAAACTTCCGAAACGCCAGTGCCGTCAACCCTATCTCGAGCTATGAACAAAGAAGGCATAACGCGCCCGGCAAGTGCTAACGCTAACCCCATCCCGGCATTCTCGCTCCCGCCTTCCCCTCCGCTAACGAGGCGGTCGACGGTTGTTCCGTCAGTTCGCTCGTCAGCATCGAAATACGCCCCCTCACTTCCTCCACTGCAATCGTCGAGGAGCCTGGCACCCGCACAAGAAGGCACGCTTCTTGGAAGACCTTCAACTTCGTCCTCATCATCCAGCGTTTCCGTGAGAGAAGTGACAAAGCTGGGCAAAGCCTTGGGGCGTCAGCCCATAGACTATCTCATCCCATACGGCGCCTTGGATGTCCCGGTTTCGGATAATTTTCACCCCTACCAGGATCCCCACTCGCTCGCCAATTCTCCAAAGACCGAGCTCCCTGTCGCCGATGTCTTTGGTAACTTGAACTATCTATTGGATTCTTACCTCGGCATCCTCTCCAATGGGGGCAGTATGGCGGTTGGTACTGGTTATAGGAGTGTTGCTCGGAAATTGCTCCAACAGGTTGGTGGTGTATTTAATCGGGAGGTCGGCGTAGAAGGAATCGACTGGTCGGATATATTGGAGTATATTCGCGGTGATGAGCAGAAGCCTTGTCTCTGTGTTCTTCCGGTTAAGGGTCTTATCCAACGAAACATCGATACAGCCACCATTCTAAGCGGCGCCGAACCAGCTTCTGAAGTAAGCCTCCAGGCCCCACAACAAACCAAGGAGCTGGCCGAGTCAGTGGTAGCTGGCGTTAGGGAGAAGTCGGGAACAGGTAAAGTTCAAGAATGGCTAGAAGAGGTAGAAAAGGTCTTGCGACAGCAGCCCCCTCCTTCCCCAACAGCATCCACGGTCCCCGAAGAAATAGAGCACGAATATGAAGACGAGGTAGTCACTCAGATTATTGAGGGAATCCTGCCAACCCCCGCTCAAGCCGAGGTCTTCAGATCTTATCTTTCGGACCATGCCTATCTTGCTTCAACCAAAGCGGCGCTCATGCGACTGTATCCTCAGCATCCCGCAGTATCAATCACGAAACCAATCGTGGCGCTATATCTCCTCTTGCATGTCGAACTTCATCCCATGCTAGCCGCTATTGGAGGGCTATCCGATGCTGAGATGGAATTGATAAATTCTGGTCGCTTTGATGGATTTCTTGACGGGAGCACCAATGCCGTACCCAGGGACGAAGAGGAAGAGCTTGGCTGTATCACCGACCTCCACAAGAAACTTGCACGTGTCATGTACACCCTTGACGACGAGTTGGCGGAGCTTCATAACCGTGCACTCATTGTGCGGCAAGCGCTCAAAGAACGCATAGACTCTATCGCGACAAGGATGAAGAAGAAAACATCCGAGAGCGAATACGGCGACAATACCGTTGTCAATGGTGGCGAGGATGCAGCTGTGGGAGATGAAGATGAGCAGGACGACATATTGTCGCCGCTTATGCCCGTGGAAGAGTGGGACGGTGGCAAAAGTATCCTGCTCAGTCCAGACGACTCGGCGAGCAATGTTCACTTCAGTCGGAGACGACGAGAGGCTCGACAAGAGATGGAAGAGAGCGAGAAGAAACGAGCGGAGAAAAAAGAACGGAAAGAGACCAAACGCCGAGAAGAGGAGCGGCGAGCTGGCGGACATGGGTTCCAGGAGGACGGCACAGCAAGCACTACGGTTTCCAAGAGACAGAAGGAGAAAAAGAGAGAGAAGAGGGAAAGAAGGTCAGGTGAGGGTACTGAGAGTGGAAGTAGCACGAAGCGTGGGCGAAGTAGGGGAAGGGGCGAGGGCGAAGAACAAGACGGTGGGGCGGAGAGGAAGGAGCACAGGGGAAGGAAAGACGAGCACCGGGAGAGGAAAGAAGAAAGAGAAAGTAGAAGAGAGGAAAGAGAAAGCAGAAGAGAAGAGAAAGAGCGTGAATTGAGGGAGAAGGATAAGAAGGACAAATCCTGGTCGCGAGCCCTCGGGGGTATCAATAAGTGGGTTGGAGAGAAGGCGGGGGATATGGGAGCAGTTGCCCTGGAAAAGGAGAGAAAGGGATAGGAGGCAGGAAAGAGTCATGGGAAAGGACGGGCGATTGACTTGCGAGCCAGCGACCCAGCCCTTTGGTATTATCTGTATAGATGGCGGGAGGCGTTTTTATACCTTTTTCGTTACGGTTTTGGCTTCACATCTTGGTGTTTTTTTGGTTTTTGATTTTTGTGGATGATAAGGAAAAGTACATTTTGTATGCCGGCACAGTTTACTATACCGTTATTATCTTTCTAGTCTTAATCCTACTTCCTTTGAGACGCGGCTCCTGGCCCGTGGGGCATATCTTGATGATATTAGTGATTGGTTTTGGTCTTTCCTTGAGTGCTATTTCTTTTGCTGCGAGCGGCTGGCGTGGGGGATTGAGATGTGGGACCTGCGGAGATGGACAAGGGAGGACTGTACCAACCTTTGTATCAGTAACTGTAATCTCTCTCTGCTCTATTATCACTTATTATAAGCCCAAAGATGCGGAGGCAGGATGGACCCAATCCCTTATATAATGTGGATTCTCGATACAGAAACCGCTTGCTGCACTTGCTGTCGGCTATCTTGACGAGGTATTAGCGGTGAGCCTATTTTTGCCCGAGATCTGATTCGATGTAAATAGACCCATCTTGAAGGGCAGGTCCTATGCTGTCGTATCGGGCGGCGGCCGGTGTACTGTACAGTGCCAACCACTTCTTGATCGTAGGGTCTGAATTCTGGTCTCGTGTGGCATCAAATTTAGGAGAATAGGGACTGGAGTGTTTATAGGCACAACCCCCCAATTGAGATGTCAGAGCGCAGACATGATTGTTCTCTACTCTTTTGGATTGCTAGATGGTCAAATTCCTCGTTGGAACTCATTCATATGGGAGTTTTTTTCTTTTCTTTTTTTCAGATTGCGGCCGGGGCTGATAGGCGGTGGCATTTTGAAGGAGCAGAAGCGATTGCATTTGGCACTGCTCCTTGAGGTGGTGTATCGGAGGTGTCGGTATACACAAGATAGGGTAGAGGCGGGGTGGGGGATGGACTGACGCGGGCGATGATGACGAGGATAGCAGCCGTGCTGAAGACGAGGAGACCGAGCCGGTTAGTGCAATGAGATTGGCAATTGAGAAGTTGGGCGAAGATCCTCCATCCGACAGCTGCTTGGGGTAGGGATATCTTATAACCTAGGAGTACGGCCGTAGCTAGGCACTTGCTGTATCCAATGCCGTAGAGCCGAGGCGATATCCGGTGGCACGAAGATAGCGGAGAGAAAGCCTTTACAATGCGAAGAAGAAGTTTCCATGTTGCTGGAGGTAGGGTTTTGTGCTTACGTGAATGTTTGTGCCCACTTGTATAAGTTACCAGGAGATGTGGCTTGCAGCTCTTTACTTCTGGATTCCGTTCACCCCGTATATAGAACCTATCATAGCTGGATGCGCCACTCTTTTACTTTCAGAAATGCTGAAGCGAAGGTGGAAAGCTCACTTTGCTTTTCAGGTACCGTGCTCGAGTGCCATGGCTTGCGCGTATTATATATAGTATTGTAGGACCACACGGTATCCTCCTCGGCGCTGCTCATGCCGATCCGAAACCCGCTGATCAATCATTTCCATGCCTCCGGCTCTCCACCAACAACTCACCGGTGCTAATTGTTTCACCCGCCCACTAACCAATGCTGCGGATAGCAGCCGAACGCACGAGTAGACACTCTAAATGTCACTGGTGCGGCTATGCCTCCGCCCTGTCCATCTCACCTTCACGCAGTTCTCAACTCCATTATTGATCAGGTGGGCATCGGTAGCCCTTATATGTCGGAGTACTATGCTCGGGGGACGACCTGGTTTTTTCCTCTTCTTTCTTTCTCTTTTTCCCCTTGGATTGAAAATTTATTTGGGTCCACATTTTTCTTCTACTGTTATGGGGTGTTCAACCGAACTTCGATTCTTCCCAAGCCCGTGCGCCCCTACTGTTCGAACAACGGCTAGGGGAGCGCCTTGACGGGCCAGGCCTTCCTCTACTGTTTCCACACCTTACCGCTAGGGTGACCGAGGGAGATACTGGTAACATACGAGTACAAACCTACCTCATCTAGGAATCGCCGCTTAATTTGGGCCTGATGCTGTAGGGGAGGAAGTTCAAGTCTCCCACCCTGGTCGACACTGGTCGAAGGTGGGGAGAGGGGGCCAAGACCAGCCCAACCAAACGCAACGTAAAGAGGTATGGCTAGGGTTTACAAGCACTCAACGGGTCCATTATGTCCGCAAAGCAAGGGGAAGGATTAGAGAATTGGGGGATGGAATGTTTGGGGTTTGGTAAGAATGGGAGGTGATCTATATTTGTTGGGAGCATATTAGACTAGAGGAACAAGGATTGATCCATCTTAATTGTGAGTCAAGAGGCTCATAATCCAGGTAAAACAAACATCTTAGGACAGAAGAGACCATTGGAAACATTTCCCCCTCAATTGAGTGTTATCACCGGAATCTTTAGCAACAAAAATATAGACCTATGGTACTATATCATACCAATATGAAAACTTTCAGGAGAGGTATGACATACACCAAATCCCGTTGAACGAGCTCACACCTGGATCATGCTACTATATAATAATCGGGCCGAAAAAAATCTCACCAAACCACCAACAATCCAAGTTAAAAAAAAATGAAAAAAGGAGAATACCATATGATAGAAGGAAAAGTTATCCACCACCCAAAATCCACTGTCTCTACTAACCCTCAAACCTCCTCTTCCGCACCATCTATCCACTCGACGGGCCCTCAGATCTCCCATTCGCGATCCCCGCCAGCTCAAAGTACCCATCCGACAATTGCTCCTCTTCACGAGCCTCTGCCAGGACGAGGGAGAAGGCAGATAAATGCTTTGTGATGATGTGGGTTAGGTATGGGGGTCGGGTGGCGAGGTAGTGCGCTCTGCGCTCAGCGGGGGTGGTCAGGCACGGCGCCGGTGGCAGGGGGGAGGAGGGTTCACCTGCGAGTGTCAGGCGGGGACGTTTTCGAGGGCGAAGGGTGATGTCTTGGGGGAGGGTTTCGTGAATCATTTTTTCCTCCATTGATTCTGTTGGGGTGTCGTGTTTGCAGGAATAAGGGAGGAAGAGGTACTGATGGGTAGATCCAAAGTGGAGGTGCTTTTGTCTACCGTTATAGCACTTACACTGGGTTTCAAGGCCGGGGGGGGGGGGGGGCGAGTCGAGTTCGGGGTTTTTTTTGAAAGCCCCTCTAGAATCGAGTCGACAATGGGGCTCTCATCTTCACGGCCATCTTGAATATTTTCAGCGGTTGGTTAACTTAGTTCATGATATATCGTTCGGTGTTGAGGTTGGCTTAAAAGTGTGGAGATGTGGGGCAGAGCTTGTGGCGTCTGACATGAAAGTTGGTTCCAATTCCCTGGACGAGACTATTATCCAGTTATCGATGTGCTGGTGACCGTGCGGCTTTCGGCTGTGCATTTGCAATGCGTAAAACCATCCAGCTCCTATACCACGGGCCAAGCAATCTTCGATCATTCGGATAGCGCTCTCACTAGCTGGCCTATGTTAAGGCCCAAACGGCCCAAAATCTTGCTCCATATTCATCGATTGCTCCTCATGAGAATTTAAATTCAGAGACGGAACTCGTGTACTATGTTCTCTGGGCCCAACTGAACCGCCCATCTAATATATAACAATTTCTGATAGCGCGCCAAAACCACGAGCAGCTAGCTCCATTTGCTGCCCCATGGTTGGCATCGTGGGTTTGTACCCACAATAATAGGGACAGAGGACTCTCTCATCGTGCTGCTACGGGTTAGGAGATTGTGGCTGGTGAAGCGCGGGGCTCTCATCACTTCCGCTTTTATTGGTTTCCCGAATAGAATCAAAAGGCTCTTCTCCACCCCAAAAACCGTCATTATCGAAGCGTACTAGAGCCTCCCCGCATGTCTGGGGTGTCCGAGAATCTTCAAGAAAGGCAACCCTTCCTGGAGGGCCACTGGGCAAACGGGTATCGTCCCCACATTCAAGGTGATCTGGCGGTCTGGTGTACCGCCTCCTCGTATCTATTTTTGTGGGACTGAGAATCTCTGTGGGGATCTGAAACGCTCTTGCAGATCCCTCAAGAGTGGCTAAAGAGGGCCTATCAAGTGGGAGCGAAGACTTCCTCCGGAGCGCTTCCTTCCGGACACTCCCAACGTTGTTCCATCTACCCGTACTCGTACATCCATCTCTTCAGAAGTCCTTACCGGGTGTGGCCTTTGCCCCGCAACCCCTGGTTAGAGGTCGACACCTTTCCCACTACAGCCCCTGCCCGCTCTGCTAAGATAAAAACGGAGGTCGGAATATCAGTCGGAGGGACCGCAGCTTCCGGAGGCAGTACGGATAGCTATTTAAATGACGGGACCTTGAAAAAAATCCCGCGCTGCAGTCCGTGACGAGAGTGGAAACATGATTCCGGTGAAAATGTTCGGTGGTAAGTGAGAGTATCGCCAGAACTGAATCATCGGGAGGGGGTGGTTGAGCGCAGGGCTTCATTTATCATGCTATGCGATGTTGGGGGAGGACGCGTAACACGAGACCACAGCACGAGTGACACAAAGACCGAAGGCTTGAACACAAGCAAGTGGATGCTACAGTATTATATTTATAATGCGACGAACTGTCTTAATCCTGTTGTTCATCCCGCCTGCTGTGGTACCACTCGAGTAGACTACAGGTTCCGGGTGGAGCTCGAGGGGAGCATCAGCCAAGCAAGTCCACTAGCCACAGCTGCTTCCCACCAAATACAGGTATACAAATGCGGTTGATATCTCGATACGGTACTGGCACCGGTAGTTCAAAGATGTTCTACTTGTACCGGGATTTGTGTAATAAGGGTCTAGTTGATATACGGTATCCCGGAGCGTGATTGAGGCGGCATGGTATGCTCGAGTACGGCGGTAGCAAGGTATATCGCCAGCTAGAGCAGTTGAAAGCGATGAAACGGGGCGATCAACCAGACCACGGCCACCGGTATCCTGCTGCCTGCACCAGTCGTCGAGCAGCTCACCCCAACCATTTATATCATAGTTTTAAGAGAGTAACTTTTTTTTTTTTTGATTTTTTTGATTTCCAGCCTGAGATGAGCGTGCACCACAGACAAGCACTATTCGTAGCGCCCTAGGCTACAGGATACTCGGGTACAGGATACGGGCCCCCATGTCGCGAGGCGGGACAGTTGCATGCTGACATCCGTGGAATCTGGCCGGGGCCAAAGGAATCCACCATCCAAAGGACCATCTGGAATTTGCGGTTGCGGCATGGAACGGGGGCTCTCAAATTGATTTCGGCTTTTCCTGGTTTCCCCGCGAACAGAACAAGATGGGTGTTCGATGTGGGTTTCCGGGCTAACCCTTGATCGTTACCGCGCCGGTATGACGCTGTATCACTGAAATTTCAACTTCACTTCCATCCGGCTTTTGGTATCATAGCTGGACTTGGTTATTCGGTAGAGTAAAAATACGATTTGGTGATATCATACTTAACTCTCCGTGGGTTTATGGTCCCGGTACTCGTATGGGCAGGTCCGACTACCGCAGGGGCTAAGGCTGGATTAACCCTAGTTCCCAGCTGACCCAATCTATGATACGATACCCGCAACCTGTGACAAGGCTTACCCTCAACACTCGAGCATGATATCGTACCGGGTGGGGGAAAGCTACCCCATAACTTAGGGAGGGGTCGGATAATTGCGAGGGCGCTTCCAGGGAGACTGCTATGGTACCGGTACCCGCTCGTCGCTATTGCTGGCGCTTCAGGTATATCATACGGTACAGTGCATCGATGTGTAGCCTGCATCATGACGCGAGAGCTACAGAGGTGCCTAAAAGCCAAGGGGTGATACGGCTTCACGGCCCCACCCCCGTGAGCATTGGGAGGGCGCGAACTGGGGTGGAGAGGCCTCAGCGAGTCCCAGGGCAGACCATCTGGCTGGGGCTGAAGGATGGCATACCGTATGGAAAAAGCGGCGGGCGATACATGACTAATCGGTAGATTGCCGCCTAAAAAGGGACAGCCGCACCGATGGTGCAGAGTCGGGAGAAAGAGACCGTATCTGACTCGAGGGGCAGTTACGGTGCCAAGTACGGGATCTGGTAGCTTCCCCGTCCAATATCTACCGGTAGCCTTACTGCCGCTATCCCCGGGCGTTTTCGAAGACGTTTTTACATGGGGCGATATGGTAGCCGCCCTCGAAAGCAAGTCGCCGTGGTTCATACTCGGTGGTGTCCGCGGCGGTATTGTGATATTATCCCGGGCAGAGATGAATTTAAGGCGATCTGATGGGCTCGAGTGTGGGGAGTGCTCATGTAGTCTACGAGTATTTGTGTGGAGTGGAGTGGATGCTGGTACCGGTATATCAAGGCATTCGTGACATGGGGTCGTGGGTTAGGGTGCGATGGCAGGATGAATGCGGCTCTTCTCGTGAGTCCCCTCCAGGGTGATGGGGTGGGCCGGGATCGCCTCACCCGAGCACTCTCGGAGCAACCACCGGTAGAACAAGGAGCGGCCCAGCAGCTCATACACTGTACTGTACTGTACTGTACTTGTACTATACTGCGGTGCTCGTAGTTACCTCTCTCGGGGTACCGCTTTGCGCACATCTACTCCCCCCGTCTCATGGCTTCGAGTGTGGGTATCCGTGTCGAGTGGCGAACTTTTTACTTCTTCTCTCTTTTCTATCCTAATTCGGGCGTGCTCTAAGAGCTGCTCTGACGGGGCAAGGCGTCGAGGAACTGCACAAGGTTCGTGATGAACTTGTTGGCCATGGCATACCCGACGCATGATTCAAATCCGTTCAGAATGGTGTCTCGCATCGAGTTATCGATTGGCTTACGGGAAGGGCATAGCACGGGCTCAGCCATGGTTTGTGCGACAACAATGCTCGATGCGAGTCTCGGCCTTGTTGTGCCTCTACCCAAATCCAGTGCTCTGCGGCCATGATACAGGAATACATCGGTACCTACCGTACCGGTTCCGCCATACGGAGGGGTCGTCGCTTGCTTATGAAGGTGGGCATTGCTGGTCCACTGGTGCGGTGAGGGCTCACTCGCCCACAACCGCACTTGTATGACTCCGAACCGATCATAGCTGGCTGGTCGGCCGATGCGTATCGTGGTAGGTTATATCGGTGCTGGTATTGCTCGAGCACATGACTATCCTGCCCTTCCAATACCAAGTACGAGTAACGGGGCTGCCTCTTCCTCCACCTCAGGTAAACTACTGACGTGCGCAACCTTCAGCACAGTGCCCTCTCTGTCGCTTCCCGTTGTCGCTATTGGTGCTGATGCTGATGCTGGCGCTCTTCTGCTCTCTTCCTTCCACCCCAGCCTATCCCTTCCTCCTCCACCTCTCCAACGTACTCTCGAGGTGTTGGACTCTCTTCTGAAATATCCCCTCCCCTCCCCACACACGATCCTCTGTACCCACCATCCAAATATAGCGGAGCCCGTGAGAAGTCGGGTTCCTTTTGGGAGTGAGTGAGTGAGTGAGTGAGGAGCTCGGTTATCCAGTTGCCTCCTTTTCAGCAGCACTCGGGAGCGGACTCGGGCTTGTCGGCACCATGTTTAATAGGAAATTACAGCTCCCTCTGCTTAACGTCACCGATGCCGACACTCTTGTTTTCATCTCGCCAAACACATCGCCCAACCCCCCCCATCGGGTCTCCTCGAAGGCCCTCCTCGCGAGCGGATCAACGGTTTTCAGGGAATTGCTTGGGCCCACCTCTCAGCATAGGGCTTTGAGGAAGAGGAAGCTGGTCAACAACCTTCCACAGGGAATCAAATATGCTGTCGATCTGAGCCCTCCGGAAGAGGGGCCAGAAGCCTTGGACGCTGTCCTAAAACTCTACTGCCCCAAGGTAGTTCTTGAATGGCAAAGCGGCGTTCCCAACGGAGCATACCTCGAGGATGATGACTACGGATACCTGGGAGAACTATTGCGGGTCAACGGGGAAGGGTGTGCCGCGGACTCGCACAACCACGGTACGTGGGAAACTGTGGAGGAGGATAGCGATTCCATCTCGGGTCTTCATCCCTCTGAGGTTAATGTTGCAGGACGAGAATTTGGAACTGAAGATACAGGCATAGAATTGATGAAGAACGAATGCACTGAACCAGCTCCGCCAGCTGCCCATTCCACAAGACGTCATAGCGCGGCGATTGAGAGGATACTTCATATGATTCATGGATTGGATCCACAATTGTGCACTACCCCTATGTGGTATACCGTGTGTAAGGTGGCGGTCTTGCTCAATTGCGAGTCGGCTGTTGTTGATCACGCTACGAGTTGGTTATACTCCGACGGGAAATTCATAGGAAAATATCCAGAGATTGTGATGGAAATCGCTAACGACCTTAAGAGTAAGGTCTTGTTCAAGGATGCGTTTGCGCTTCTCGTCGGGAAAATTCTCCGTACCGCTGAATCGGATTCTGAACAGGATGCCCATTGCTTCGACAGGATCCCGGAAGCGGCTCTACCTTGGAAGCGTAGTATTATGCATGCTTGTTGGTCTTTGAGGGAGCGCGCTCAGATGGCCTATCATCATCTCATGTGTCCTCATGAATGGCTCCACAACCCTGAGTGGATATCTGAATATGCAAAATTGGCCAGGGTTCTTTCGATACCAAATCTGGATCACGAAGTTCACGAGGCGAGCATCGCCCTACGGGATGCAATTACACACGCAATCGTTAATAGGCTGGCACCTGACCTTGGAGATCCATGCCTATCCGGGGGCCTTCTGCGCTACGATTCATTTTTATTCACGAGGCTGTTTTGGCAGCAGTTGGGCGATCTCTCTGCTGATTGTATTTGGGAAATGTTCGATCAAAACGTTTTTGATGCCCAACTTGCTTGGCAAAAGTGTGTTCAGAGATACAACACGAGGAGGGTAAAAGGAAAACATCTGCACTCTAGGCAAGTCGAGCCCCCCAAGAGAATCCTCGATGTGTTGGAGGTGCGAGGAGTGGCCAGCCGTGATGAAACACCTAAAATTGAGCCGTAAGTGTGCCACCTCATCTTCTTACATCGAGGCGGAACCCGGTTTTTAATAGCTAGTGTCCTTGGTATAGATCTCGCGTCGGGGACTCTCAGCCTACCCCACCCCCGAGGAGGGTAGCCGGTGGTGAAGAGAGATGCCCGGATCGGCCCGACTCTCAAACACTGCCCGATGATTTCAATGCCCTTGATTTTCAACAAGACGAGGACATACACCCTCCCAGCTACAAGCCAAGTAACGAGCCCCCGCCGAGTTATGCACGCATTGATGAAACTAGTGAAGATCTTGTGACGAAGAGCCCCCCACGAGGAATGAGGATTGAAATTGCGAATCCCATTAAACGGAAGTCTATGTCCGAATATTCATGGGATGATGATGTGGCAGAGGGAGTTGCTTCAGGTGGGGAGCCTAGCTCTGCTACTCCACGAGTTGGAAATAGCAGTAAGCGCAGGTGCTCTCTGGAGAAATGCGAGGATGAAAAAGCATCAGTGTACTCAGTATCTACTGTTGCCCGAAATGAAGATTCTGGTGAACCGGAGGTTTTCCGTATATCTGGTGTCCATGAAGCAATCGACCATCAGGCAACGCCACTGGATTCTGATAGAAAAGGGAAAGGAAAGGCTGTTGATCTTGGCCAAGTTCAAGGGTCGCTCGTAGCGGAGGAACCCCAAGGCTCTAGTCTTCGGGTTCTTCCCGGCCCCACGGGAGCGACGGCGGAAGATGACTTGGATATATGGTCAAGGCTGTGGGCGAAGGAGGTTGAAGGTTCGCATGATTCGTTTCTGGGTCCCCCATGGGATGGACGTGAACTGTTCCGAGCATTCTGCGGATTCAGTAGCAGTGGCAATCCTGAATCAAGTAGCGTGGCAGGCGCTGGAGCCCATGCTACTCTAGATTATGCCTTATACGACCGCACCACCAGTCAGGACCCAGATCGCGCCCAAGATTATAACCAGGATTACAATTCGTTCGCCGATCTAGACATGAAAGGGTATCTAGGGACCCGGGGATCTGGGCAAAACATGGACCAGGGATTGCCCCCGCAGGACTCGCCCAAAATTTCCAGCTCACAATGCATCACCCTTGAGACGATATGGAAACAGTCTTTGAGTTATTTGCATATAATCAGCTCACCGTTCACCGAGATACCCACCATGTACGACCCGACCAGCTGGCCCGATGACGGCGCACTACTCTGTCTCTCCGATGCGGAATGGAAATTTTTGCCATTGTGGGCGGACGGTCTGGACGACGGCACCGGCGGAGTTTTCGGCGACCCACAGCCCGAACTAGTCCCTCAGTCCCCGCCGGAGGACTGCGGCGAAGGGACGGAGGTTGAGAGCCTCGCAGGAAGCAATTACTCAGATTGTCTACTTGACATGGTGAGCGTGGCTAGCTTCGAGGCAAGGGTGTTTTCGGAAGACGAGGATGAGGATACGGATGGTTTCATGTCCACCAGTACAGCGGAGGACGAGGACGAGGACGAGGAATGGGATGAAGACTCGGACGGTATGGAAGATCTCGGATGGGAAGAGTGTTTTTGACGGCTTTTCGCAGGAGTGGGAGGGTTTCAGGCGTGAGATGTGATTCGGCACGGTGCTCGCAGCGGTGGAGGCAAATTGTGGAGGTCTTGTCGGGCTTTTGTGACGAATACTTTTCAACTCGTTGTTTTCTACCCGGATTATTTTTAAAATTTGCTTTTTTCCCTCTTCTCCTTTACTTTTTACTGACTCGGTGTTTCTACTCCATTTCCTTTGATCCACTCATTCATTCACTCCTTTTGTCGAATGCCTTCCCCCCCCCTTTTTTTTCCGCCATCTATGGCTATTAGCACCCGCGACTGTAGTGGGCAATATATCGGGTCCGGGGGGGAGAAATCTGCGCAGGAAAATTTGATATTATGATGCATGACTTCAGGAATTCAAGTTCCTTTTGCCCTCCGTATCACGTGATTGCGTCGCCGTTGTCTAGTAACTGGAGGACTGTGAACACAACTGGTTTTTTTTTTTGCGATGTTAACCCTAACCCTAGCTCCATCATCAGATATCACACCACCCTGCCGGGCCCACTCGCCTTCGGGATGGGATAGTGTGCTGTACAAGTATGGCGCATGGTTTTTCTTTATCTAATCTAACAAAACTAACTCCCCTCTTCTCTCTTAGGTGTGGATCCGTGAGCTTTTGCAGTGTAAGTTATTAGGAACCACTGCTCATCGAAGCCTACATCCCCAGCCTCGGATTTCGGGTTGGAGTGGAGGTCCTCGCAGAATTTTTCGAAAAGGGGCGGCCGCCCTGAGGCTGCCCTTATCATTGTATGATAATGTAATTATGGCGCTGGGGTTTGGGAAGGTAGTTTGGTGGCTTATTGCTTCCGCTTGTCATAGTGAGGAGGGGCAGCGATGCCTCCCGGGGAGAGGGGGGGGGGTTTGTGGAAGGGTGACCGGGGCGTGTTTTTGGTTAACCAAGTAGTTTTTGGATATCATGTGATGCCTTGAGATCGCAAGGGGATTGCACTAGTCTTCTCATGTCATACTATGGCTGGCACGAGCTAGCGATGTGCTGGGTAGCTCCATGATTGAGCGACATGTTCGGCTTAAGGGAAGATATGAGGTATCGTCAATGCCATAAAAATTTATGTTTGGAAAAGTGTTTTTTGGTGTATGCACTCTCGGGGTATGACGTGTTTGTCACTGCAAGGGGGGTTGGTAGTGGGCTTGAGAGGGACACGGAGTGTGTCGGCGGGGCTGTGATACAAGCCCTTTTATCACAGCGCGTTCGCCGTGATCTGCCTTTCTTTTGGGGGTGGGGTTTCTGGTATGCACCTATTGTATGCGTGGTCTGTCGCTCCGCTCTGAGGTGGAGGTGGCGGTGGCTATTGGTATGGCGCTACTTGGAGCTGCGCGCGCGCGGCGGGGGGGGGAGGGGTAGTGTCTTTAGGTAGCTAGTTTGTTTGTCCGGAGAGAGAGTTCCTTACACCGGCTATCTTAAAGATAGGGGGGGTATACAGCCAAATAGGGCAAGTATGATACCGGTGCCCCATCAATAGATAATTCTGGCTGAAATAGCCTTCCGCTGTGAAAATATTGGTAACTCTGACGCTTGTCTTAAGATATTAAGCTGGCAGTGAGAGTTGAATACAATATAGTTTTAGACTGTAAGATAGTATCCCCACTTGCACTATTGAACTAAGAGATAACTTAGAAGCAGATTCTGTCTTATATTACCAAGTACTATTCACTAGTATCTATGTGTTATACATGGTTGCAGGTATGAGTCACATTGACTCCTATCTGCGACCATACAGTATAAGTGAGTCATATATTTAACACACCGTAGTGCGTATAACCTACCACCTCTTCATCTATTACATCTTATGATACCAACTATAATAGTACCAAAGTAGGACCCATTTCAGATAGCCAAAATCACAGGAGAATTGCCCACACTTAAACATGGCCAGAACTTACAAAACAGGGAATTGAAGGCAACAGACGGTGGCGGCGTGGATGAAATTTTTTTTCTTTTCAAGAAAGAATTGGGTATCGGGGCTGTAGAGTACCGGTATTATAAAGATGAGAGGATTCCCAGGATTTGGCGGGAAAATTCGAGCCCACTCACCCTGCAACCTACGATACGAGCTCCATACCTGCGTATGTGAAACCCGAATCTCACTTGTTTGGAGAAACCGCCGGGATATCCCGATATCATACTTGTATTTCCTTTCCCCGGGTGGGTGGCCTAAGTTATCTCATGGATCGACTCGGGAAGCCAAGAGGAAGCCAGCTCTCGAAAAACCACTCACCGCTCCTAGAAACAGATGGATTCACACCGTTAGGCAGTAATGAAGCGCACTTTGAGCTTTCCGACCTTTCGGGCCTCCTTTGTCTCTATCCTCTGAAGCACGCAGTCTAATTCTATGGCGCAAGAAAGACGCTTACATGCTCCATTTCCAGGTTGACATCCTTGAACTCAATAATAACAAACTGCTCCTAACATATGAGCCCATGGCAACCCAAATACATTATAGAAGTTTGTATGCGGGAGAGGAAGCATCAGGTGTAGTTCTGGGGACCTTGTAGGACTTTGGGCATAAGGAGTTTCAACTTATCCTCCCAGCCAGGTACCTACCAGGCGCTCGTATTAGCAATGGGTGCCGTATGGATGGCTTTTTTTTTATAAGTGGAAAGGAAAGGAGAACACACCGGCTGGTTGCATTGATGCCATGTTGGGTCCGGAATCCGGATGTCCTCAGTGTCGGCAAAGTTAGGTCATTGCTTGGTAGAAGGGCGCGATTGCTTTCGCGACTTTGATTGCACGTAAAAATATCTTTGAACCTTCCTTGCATCCTTACCGGTATCTATTTTCTTTGTAAATCTAGAAGTCGGTTTGTGTTGCGCGATGAGTGAACTCGGGTCGCGGGATCGTTGCTACAGTACGGTCGGTGGGATAAAGTGTCAAGGGCTTGGGTCCGTGTTCCTGGTCGCGCAGTCCCCCCGACGTCCAAGCCTTGGTGAACGGTAGTGGATTAGACTATAGGCGACTAGCACTGGTCAATGCGCTCCGGAACACCGGCACCGCGCAACAAGTCATTATTAGAAGAAGGCGATACCCGGACAGCCTACTGTGGTCAAACGTGATAACCCAGCAAGGCATGGGGGCACTAGAAATAGGTATGCTCGAAAAGAGGCGAAGGTGGAGGTGGATGTGAAGTGGCCTAATGCTCGAAGAGCTCTCAGCCTGAGTGGAGGAAGAGAACGGGGGGAGTGAGCGCACAAAAACGTTCAATCTATGATATAATCGTTCTTGCAGAAACATGCGGTTCCGTTAGCGACCCTGTGCCCGAGTAAAAAAATTCCGGAAACGGGGCAGATTGTTAGACTGGGCAGCCCCGGCGCCGTCCGGCTGGACAATTGGAAGCCCTCCCTGGAGCTCAATCGACCCCCCCCCCCTTCATCGTGTGTCGCTGCCGAATGATCCAATCCCTGGTGCCTGCAAGTGAATAATAATACTGGACGAGGTTAGGCCCCTGCTCAGCGCACCGCGGGGGTCCTTATTTTCCCCCTTTAATGCCATTTCCTCATGCCCCTCTCCACACACTTGTATATCGAACGAGAGGTTGTGTTTGACTCGTAAAGGAAGGGAAATCATCATCGGCCTTCAAGATTTCAACCTCTAACGTTGATGGCAGAACATTCCTACTGCGAACTTGGCTTTTTGACCGCATCGAGACCGTGGGGTTAGTCAATCGCTACAAATCGTGCGTCTCGTGTTTTTTTTTTTTTGATTCTGATTTTGATTTTGACTTTGATTTTGAGAGTGTGGGATTCTCTCAAAATTCGGTGCATCGCCAAGGGAGTGGGTCCACTCCCACCTCACGTGGAAGCTTCAACTTTGGAGTTTGGGGTTAGCTAGGGGTGGTGTCAATCATGCCATTCACTTAGCATACATGCCGCTGTACTTGAGTACATAGCACCTCATAATTATTTGAGTATCCCACGGCGCAATAAAGGATTTAAGAATCTGGCAGGGAAGGGATCATTGAAAAAAAAAATCATTTGTCTTGGAAGCCGATATAACTTTGCTTCTTTTCTCATCGCTCCCTTTTCTTTCTGCCCTCGTGTTTATGGCTCGCGGGCCTATTAAAGAATAGAGGGTTGGGCTGTTTATTTTGCTATTGGAGGTGCGGATCGAGGTGATTTTCGGCAGATTTTCATGAACAACCTGATGGGTAAAAATTATTATTGCCATTATCATTATTATTGGCATGGGGGGATACCTAGGTGGGAATCCGTCTCCTATCATTTCTGCATGTCGTTGCTTTCGACTTTTGTTTGATTTACTGAATTAGAGAAACTAGGGAGATATTTCTGGATCTAAAGTTGGATATTTTTGATGTAAAGTGCCAACCTAGTCATGACTTTTGATGCCAGGATCGTTGATATATCATCCGGAGTGTGCATATCTATTTTATCCGAGTCGATCTAGAAATCATACTTCTCTCGCTAAATACTTTCCCATCCTATAGGGAGAGGGCATGTGGCTATTACCTCGGGTACCCAGCTGTATGATACTATAGACCTTCGGTGGTAGAGCGCCCTATAAGTTGGGGTTATTCAGCTAGTAAAAGCCGAAAACTCACGGTTGAGTAGGACTGTTGGCAATTTGAGCTTCAAAGTCCTGCGGACATGTGCGTTCATTCTACTTGTTCGGTTCTCCGAATAGAGGGATAGGCAGAGATACACTCGTGAGGAGTCACTCATGCGGTCCCCTGACATAGCTGGCAGTGTTACCATACTCCTAAATCTCGGGATCCCACTATGTAAGGCCGCCTAGCCTGACTAAAAGATTGCTGCCTGATATATCGCCGCTATGGGTGGACTGCGAGACGCGGCCTTGTCTCTACTAGCTCTGGGTGCCGTTGGGAGCCCTGCCAATGGTAGATGGCCACCGTTAAAGACCCGGCTGGTGGCCTTCGTACTAGAGAGTGTGTATAGCATATAGAAATTGCGGGGACCTTTTTAAATTAGAGGAGAAGAAACGATCCTTGGTGTATTATTTTTAACCAATAATACAGATGTTCTTGTTATTCTGTCACCCACAAATCGTAAATTTCACCTCTATATGAATTTTGCCTAGAGTCGGATTCTATAACCTCGTAGCATGTCGGATTTTTTGCTAGAGCCTTAGTGAGGAGAGCTAGGGTCTTCGGTCTCCCAGCTCCCAAAGGCGGGACTTCTCGATTCGCCATCTCTGCATAATGGGCCGTGTCCCACAACAACCCGTAATGAGAGGGATTACGGTAAGCCCCCAGGCTCCTACTCCTAACTAAAGCAAGGGATAATTGGTTGTTGATATCGTAGCCACTGCACGGGCCGGGTGTTTCACAAGAAATTCTTATGGGAACCTGCATTTGTCCTACTGATCGGGTAGATTTGGATT